GTGTGAACAAGATCATTAATATGCTTTAATATCTGTATGTTTATAAAGCACGCTTAGCACAATCCCAGCAGTAAAAACTCATTGCTATATATCATCTTTGATTGCCTCATTTTGGCTGACACAGTGGCTCTTTTCTCTTCATTGCAAGTATGTGAACAAAACTATTAATCTTTTTAAGTAATTTCAGAAGCCATAACTGATCTTTTTCTGACCAGATAACCCTTGTTTTTCCTTAAAATACATGTGTCCTAGTTAGACACAGGTTTTCTTCCCTGACATGAAAAAATCACAAGTATCAGGATAAACATAAAAAAACACATGCTTGTTTTTACGTTTAAGGGGTTTTTTTGTGGGTTTGTTTTGGTTTTTTTTAATGAAATGTGTCTAAGACCATCTTTTCTACAGGGGATATGATTTGTAAAAGGAGTTGCTCAAAGTTTTGAGGCCATTGTCAGGTAGTAAACAATGGTCTGATTTTCCACTTCTTGTTTACTTTTGTTTTGAGCATGGACATATTCCTGTCATTTGTTCTCAAAGTGCTACTTCAGCTTCATGCAAGTCACTAGGAGCTGTTGGATAAGTAAAATTGCTGTCCTTTGAAATCTAAAACTGTTAAGAGTCTGAGTCTGCAAGTTTTCAGTGAAAAATACATTCAAAAGCTGAGATTCTGCAGTATGCTGGCTAAAATGCCATCAAATCATTAATACAACCATTAATAGCACTTCACTGAAGTCTTCTTTTGTTAAGATTGGTGATTTTTGTTCCTTTGCTCTATGTATGTCAGAAAAAAGTATTGTGTGTATTAATGGACTAATTGCATTATCAATTTTTGTTATTTTCTGAAAATATTTATTGGGAATGAAAGTGGTTTACCAGATGAGTATGTAAACTTATAAATATAGCTGTGAGATGATAGTTTTTTTCCAAAATTCTGATAAAATTTCTTCTCAATAAATTATCCCAGCTGAAAAGGTGAATATTCTTTCTAGAAGGTTTTGTTATTTATATTAATATAAATGTTGTTTGTGGATTTGTTTTAATAAATAGAAATGGGAAGAAGTACATGATAGTTTATATTTGGATTTTAAACCTCAGAATCTAACACTAAAGAATATAAACAGCATTTTCCTTTCTTTGATATGTTATGTGATATTTGGAAGAAACATTTAAAAGACCATTACTGCAATATTCCACATCTTTTTATAAACAGCATTATGTTCAGAAGAGGATAGCACAATACACAGAATGGAAAATACAGAGGAGTATTGCAGAGTATAAAGTCTAGAAACATTTGTATTTAAATGTTATATTTTTTACTATTTATCTCTGTCCATAGTCACTATGTAGTTTCAGCCTTAGAGATCAATATGCTGCTGAGTTCATACGAAAGATGTACACATATACAAAAAACAAATGCTCTTTGAACCATTTCTGCTTTTATTTTTCCCTCTGATTTGGGATTATAAACTAAGGGGTACTTTGTCAGATATATGTAAATATATTTGTAAATATATTTTATTGTTTTTTAAAAGCGCTACATGCAAAATGATAGGGATGCTACAGAACTTGTAACTCAGCAGGTCTCCAAGCATTTCAGGTTGTAAAAATCATTAACACATCAGAAAGAACCAGAAGAAAATGTTCCCCTTGGCTTTTCTTTTTATAGTTCTTTGAATTGAAGTTGACCCTAACTATTGCAGTTGGCATAACCTTGTTGGTGTCTCACATAGTCATTGTGCAAACCAACCATACGGTCACAGTCCTGACAGGTGTCAGTCATAGCTGGCTCAAAGCTTTTAGGCTTTCTTTGGATGCATAAGCATACTTGATACCATGAATAATTTGCCCTTGAGTCATGCAATGACACTGAGTATTATCACTCTTCTTATGATCCCTTTCATTGTGGATTTAGTAGTGGTATATGCTTTGTTCTCTGGTGTGTTCTTTTGAAATTATCAGGAATTTTCCACACCACATACCCAGGTGCTGCATGTGTGTGAAATTGTTTCTTTTTTTTTGGTGGTAACCAACTAGTTGCACTCATATATGATTCTGGGCAATGCTCATTAAGGCACCTTTCCCTATAGGCAGTACACAGAGGAGACAATAGGATGCATTTTAATCTTCAACCTGAGAAAAAATGTTGATGAGAAAAGAAAAAGAAGTGGAACCAGCGCTGTAAGACAGAGAGCAGTGGCGTGAAAAGCATTTGGAAAAAGACAATCTGTTATTTGCAGCACAGTGAGACAAGATTTTGAACTTGCTTATGGCCATGCGCAAGGATTCCTACTGCATGGTCTGTGCATTTAAAATCTGTGGAGCAAAATGTGTTCAAGCAGCAGTATTGATGTTATCCATGACAATGTAATATTAGTCTTAAAAAAAAAAATTCCATTTGCTATTTTCAATCTCTACTGTGGCTCAAAGCTAAAATATTTGTTTTTGTGATCTAGCCAATGGATATTTTTCATAGTGATTATTTTTATGACGATGTTCATTATGTTGTCCCAACAGCCTTGCTCTAATCCCTAAGTTTCAGTACCCACCATGTTTTCTAGGGGGTCCATAACAACATCTCTTTAACAATTTGTGCCATGCTGGTCTTGTAGCTAACTCTAGAATCTCATAATTTCCCTTTCCTGAGCCCTGAATACTCACAAGCAACCTTATTCAGCTGAATACATTTCAGGTTCTACCACATTAAATCCTTCTGGTTATGCTGCCTGATCTGGCTGGCTCCAGAAAAGAAGACAGGGGTAAACCACATAATCTCACACACTTTCTAGGAGCAAATGGAAACAGAGACACTTTCAGACAGGTCTTGGCAAGACAGAGAGAGAGAAAAAATAGTATTGGTGGGTAAATGCATGTTTACAGAAAGTGTGAATCCTGTTTTGGAGTACAATGCTGTGTATGGCTTATACTTTCTAGGCTGCCTTTTGATTAATTTTTGATGCTCAGCCTACCTTTCAGTGTTGGTATGCTGAACACACTCTCTGTTTTTAAAGAGAAAGTTCAGGACAAAACTTAGCATTTGGTTTTCTACATATGGAGTCATTGAAGCTCCAGCAAATACCTTCCACACCAGCACTGTGTAAGAGTGGAACCTGGTCTGCCTGGTGTACCTTGCCTACCCTACTCTCCATCCTGTTTAGCAGCACTGAATAACCAAGGACTGGGAATTTGGATGAGTTGTGGTGGTCCACAGGAAAACCTCAGAGCTGTTGGCCTCAGAAGGGAGTAAAGGATCTGTGGAAGTAGCTGATCTCTTCCACTCAGAGGCATTTGTTTCTCTGTTTCTGGGTGGTCATAGATAAACAACCCTCATCCAGAAAGCTTGAGAGTGAAACCACAGCCTCTTTCACTGTGATCATGTCCCCTCTGAGCCCAATATACAAACTCTTTCCTTTTCACTGTGGCCATGTTTTCTATTTCTCTGCTAGCTCCAAAGAGGTTACTCTGGTAGCTGTATGGTGTGATTTCTCCTTGCCCTCCACGAGCTCTGCAGACCAAAAGAGCAAGGGCCAGCTCTTCTTGACAGCGTGTTTAAACACCCCGAGCAATGGGCAGACCACGTGGGCACTACCAAAGACTTGAATTTTATGTGACGAAAGGTCACGATCTGTCAGTTTTAAACATCAACAATGTCCCAGTTAAAGAGGGAGCTGAAAAAACCTTTAAGAGCAATTCAGTCTCCACAGCAGATGGAGATGGAAGAAATATTTGCTTTTTCAGATATTGCCCTGAGCAGATGATGAAAAGGAAGTACAGACTTTGCAAAGAGCAAGTGAAGGAGCACCAAAATGAAGAGGCAAATGCAGAAGAATGTTTTTGCATGTTCTTACATGAAACTTTGTCAAATTTACTACTTTCTGAGAGAAAGTAATGCTACTCATTGAATTTTGAGTACCCATTTTGAACTAAATGAAAAAGAACAGGATACTGAGTTTGAAGACAACGCACGTTATTACATCACATGGAGACTTTGGTGAAAGTAATTTAGTTAAAGATTGTTCAGAACAACAATCATCATATAGAAGTATAATTTCTGCCATGAAACAGCAGAATTCATTGTAGATCAGCCATAATATGAAAAGGATCTGTAAAGGACTGGAAGCTCTCTTGCTCAAGGGAAATATGAAACCTTCCAGGTGGAAATCAAATTGCATTTTAAAGAATGTGTGATAGAAACTTTTCCAAATGGAAATTCACCAAGATTTACATTACTTTCTAATGTTCAAGTTGCAAGCCTAGATTGTGACTGCCCAGAAGGGTTGTGGAGTCTCCCTTACTGGAGATATTCAAGAACTGTCTGGATGCAAACCTGTGCCATGTGCTCTAGGAAGACCCTGCTTGAATAGGGATGTTGGACCAGATGACCCAGATGTGGTCCCATCCAGCTTTAACTATTAATTGATCTCCAAAACATATTCTCCAAGAGTTATTTCTGCTGAGGAAATACTGAGCTCATAAGTTCTATAAAGTTCACTGTTTACTTTGAAGATGTTTTGTGATGAAAAGTAAGATTTTGCCAAGTCAAAGCGTGTTATTATATTTTTGATACTAAGTATCTTAATACTTAACATTTTTCTGTGGAATGCATGAAGGATTTTTTCCATCTTTTTTTTTTCTGTGAGAGTTGTAACTTCTTTTGCAATCACCCAAACAAATAACAAGGTGTCTAGAAGCACATTACTGAGTATGTGGTTAGCAAACACTATCAGAACTGGCTACATTCCAACTGTGCAAATGTTATTAAAAAGATATCAAGTTTCTAACAGTTTGCCCTAATGAAGATCTTCAGGTTTCAGCTCTTTTAAAGAGAAGCTATTTCCAGTTTGCAACTGGGGAAGAGAGATTGCTTTTTCAATCAGAATAGTCTTTTTATGATATTAAATAGTAATGATTAAGTCAGATCACTGTTAGTGAGGGGAAACTGCAAGGAAACACTTTGCTCTAAGTTGTCATTCTAACTGTCGCTTCTTTTTCTCTGCTTTCAGAGGGTGGCAGCAAGAAGCTAAAGAGCACAATACAGAGAAGCACAGAAACAGGAATGGCGGCAGAGATGAGAAGTCGTATGGTTCGACAGCCAAGTCGGGAATCCACTGACGGCAGCATAAATAGTTATAGCTCTGAGGGGAAGTAAGTGGCATTAAAAATATGAGTAATGTAGGAGAAGTTTCTAATGAGGGAGGAGTTTCTTTCCCAAGTTACTTGGGATGTCCCAAGCTCTAGCTGAAGGGGTTGGCTCTGTGTACAGATACTTCCTCTTGAAATGTTTGAAAATTTGCAATATTTTAGGCACATAACATAAATTTCTCAGAAATTGAAATCAGGAGAGGATTCCTTAAGAATTCTTATTTTCTGGCATCCAGCAAGGCATTTTGTTCATCAAAAGACAACTAAATTCAGACTGCATTATTCAAAGCAAAACATAGGGGTACTTTTCTTTAAGTTATGTTTGGATTACCTCAGAGTTAAACTTCAGACATCATGTGTGAATCCCTGTGATATGAAACTGTTCAGTAATACTATATACAAAGAAAGTTTAGTTTGGAGTTGGTCCAAGTCTCTTATTGAGAATTGTAAACGCAAAGTCCAGCTGCCCCATCAGCTAAGTCAGGCAGACAGCTGTGGGGAATGGGGTAGCTGTTTTCATTCACTGCAAAACAACTCAATATGTAGGAAAGGAGAACAAAGGCAGTTCTGACATGAAAGAATGCATGAATACTCCAGCCTCCTCACAGTTCTCAGTGGGACTCTGCCGTGTGTACCAATGCACAGCGGTCACTCGGGAATTCTTAGAAGATGACTCCCCACAGAAAGGGAAAATGGGGGTAAGCAAATGCACTCTATAGACTTGGAAACAAAATGAGAGATTTGGACTTCTTTGGCTTCGTCTTTTTATATGCTTACTGTGTTACCACTCTTCTGCCCACCAGGTTGGATGGGGCTTTGAGTCACCTGATCTAGTGAAAGATGTCCTTGAGCACTGCAGGGGCATCAAAACTAGATGATTTTTAAGGTCCCTTCCAACCCTAACCATCCCGTGATTCTGTGACAATGCTAAGAATTTTAACAGCCACTGTAAGAAAAACAGGCTATATTATGAATAATTCAAACCCAAATCAGATAAGGCTCAAGTGAAGAATAAGGGACCGGTTTTCATCATTATGATTCCTTGATGGGGCATTACTTTTACCCTTTCAACACTCCATCCTGCCATGCTCCTTCCTCTCTATGCTGGAGTGTCAATCTGTAAGGCATCAGTCTCTCCCCTCGGTAACAAAGGGCCCAATAAACTGGACCCTGCTAAGGAGGAGCTGTGGGAGCCTGTTTTCCTGATTAGCAGTGGAGGGGAGGGGTGGGAGCCAGCACTAGGGGTGAGGAAATTTTTAGGGGAACAGCTAAATCTTCTGTTCCACCTCCATTGTGTGTAAACAGATTTGTCAAGGCTAGGACAGCCAAGGTCCGGATCTGGAGGTCACAGCAGGCATCTAGAGGACAAAAAGGTAGAGCCTTAAACTGTTGATTTCAGAATCAGCTTCTGAGTAAGGCAGTGAGGAGAGCAAGCCTGGTAAGTAAACAGAGTGCTTGCTTTTTACTGGGACATATTGCAGGCTGGGTGTGCGTAGTGGGACATAGTTTGAAAATTGTCCTTTAGAACTAGGCACATCTTCAAGCTATCATAAATTGGTAGTCACACTATCTGCATTTCATGTCTTGTTTCTGTCTCCTCAGCACCTGTGCCTGCACCCCATCTCTTGCTGCACTAGCATCAGCTCTGCCTCTGATAATTCTCCTTACCTCTCAGATCTCTCATGCAATAGCTATCTTCACATCTGACCATGTTTGTCCTGCTTCTTTGATCCATTCTTTTGGCACCCTAACTTTTCACTATGTTTTGGTTTGATAGTTACCAGTTCTTCTGGTTGATTCCTGATTCTCAGTATACCTCAGCTTTATTTCATGACTCCAAACCCACTTTGTACTTGACCTTAGCTTTAAGGATTGTTCTCTCTGAGTTCCACATCTCTATTCCAATCTCTGGCAAGACTAAAGAAACAGTGAGTTCAGTGAAGTGAAAACACCACTGATATCTAACAGTGACTCTGAAGGGAAGCCTGGAAGAATGGGTCAAAGGAGGGAGACAACAAAAATCAGGTGAAAAAGTTAAATATATCTTGCTGAAATGAGAGAAGAGAAACATTCTTTAAACAGTACACAGTGCCATAGGCAAAAGGGATGCCAGAGGGCTCTGTTCAGTGGGGTGCTGCACTTTGTGGCTTAGAAAACCTCTGTGAAGTCTTCTGTTTTTCTGTGATTCTGTGATTTAGCTATGGATCAAATCCTCAGTTGCTTTAAATTTGTATGAGTTCCATAGAATAATATTAGTTTACAGCAGCTCTGGGTTTAGACCACAGTGAAAGAAGAAAGTTAAATGGTAAGAAAGATGACCAATAAAAGAAGTTTCTACTGTTTAATTACTTCCCCCACGTGCATCACTGGCTTATTTGTAGAACATTACTTCAACACAATCTCAGTGGAGGGGAAACCACACAGCTCTGTTACATAATCAGAGTGCAGGCACTGTCCCAGCTGATCCTAAAATCATCTCCCTCTCTCCCTCCTCTGGGCTTGCTTTTTAACATTAGAAGGGTCAGCTTTAACTTCAGATGTTATGTCCAGTGTGAACATTGGATCAGCTTTTGGCAGCACCTTCTATTCAGAATAGTGGGGCTGCTTGCAACATTTTTTTCTCTTGTTTTGTCTGAAGTTCACTCTTGACATTACTGTAGGGAGATAACGATGACAGTTAGGAAGTGCTTAAGTTAAGTTTGCACAGGATTCTTGTCCTTCCTTGTGTGTGTGACCCTGACTTTACTTCTAGGATCACATAATTTATTGACAGTAACATTCCTCATGCTGCATTTCTTAAGACCAATCAGATACGTAGCTCAGCTATCCCTACAGTAGGTACCCCAGGTACTTGCTTGGCCCTTAATTGGAGTTTAATGAACTAGAATTAATATACATTAAGATGAGTGTGTACTTCTCAACCTTCATTATTATATAGTATAGCTGGACATGTGGTCTCAAGTAAATATTTTCTATGTTAGTCAACATGTGACAAAATGTGACACATCTTGGGAAAAAAACCAAAGAAACAAGCAAGAAACTTTTCATAGCAGAAGCAAGAGTGAAAGGATAATGACACTGGGGTGAGAAGCAGATTGTGTCTTGTCAAAAGGGCTGGGCTTGAAGCTGCATCTCAAAGTTAGGTGAATGCTCTAAGTGGTGGGCTGATGGTTGAACTGAAGACCTTGAGATTCTTTTCCTCCTCCATCTAAAGAAAACTTATTTTTTAAAAAAAGACAGATTTTAAAACTAAACTGTTGGAAAAACAGAGTTTTCTAATGAGAAGCACTGTGCCGAGGGAATGGTATGAGGATGTGTCAGGGGAGGTTTAGGCTGGACATTAGGAAAAGGTTCTTCACCCAGAGGGTGGTTGGGCACTGGAACAGGCTCCCCAGGGAAGTGGTCACAGCACCAAGCCTGACAGAGTTCAAGAAGCATTTGGACAATAATCTTGGGTGCATGGTGTGACTCGGGTACGATCCTGTGCAGGGCCAGGAGTTAGACTTTGATGACTCTTGTGGGTCCCTTCCAACTCAATATATTCTATGATTCTATGATATTTTCTGGCCAATTTTTGTCACAGACAATCTATATGTTTATGCAGGCATAGTAAGAGCAGTTAGTTTTCAAGAGAGAAATGGGCTTTTTCTATGCAACTTATGGGTTTGTAAAGAGTTTTAAGTGTGAATTGAATGGCTGGAGCACATAAGCCTGATGTGAAGAAATCAAAGCTTTTCACACTACATGTTTTTATTAGGAAGTTTTTTTATTATTTATTGCAGTCTATTAGGGAATTTCCTTTGAAGGAGAAGCAGATATAGAGTGGTGGATGGCCTGCTGGGTAAGATGTTACCTAGACTTAGTTCAAACTCTGTTCCTCTATTCCTCATAACCGTGATAAGGAAGTCAAAGCTGAGTCTTCCCACCACGGGTCATTCTTTCTCTCCTTCTCTTTTTTTTTGTTTGTTTCTCTTGTTATTGTTTGAAGACTCTGTCTCTAATAAATATAAAGTGGAGACTCTGGAATATAAGAAAGTAGCTTGGAAAAGCAGATATCATAGCATCATAGAATAGTTTGAGTTGGAAGGGACCTATAAAGATCTAGTCCAACCCCTCTGCCCTCAGCAGGCACATCTTCAACTGCACCAGGTTGCTTAAAGCCCCATCTAACCTGGCCTTGAATGTTTCCTTATAATCTGTGCCTATGTATGTGTTCAATTTGTATCTTGAAAGAGGGGTAGGTACCAACTGTAGATCCAGTTTGTCTACCAGAATATTTTGGCTAGGCAGTGGTATGAGCTTTAACTCTAATCACCACTAGTACTACCTGCCAGTTTACTGCTTCATTAAACAGCTGCAGCAATCAGATTAATTTAGTGTATACATCTGGTTTTCCTGTTAGCTCTAACTGATGCAGGTGGGGTTTGGATCTAAGTCAGTCAAACATTCAAAAATGAAGGACAGGCTATTAAATTTCTTGAAGCTTTTATGTTTTCTCATACAAGGTCACTCACAGTTTATTCACCTGTCAGACTCTTCACTGCTCCTGAAGAACTGCTTAGCAAGACCTGTTTTATGGACTATTTTGTGTCTGTGTGCAGAATTTCACTACACTGCTTTGGAGTCCATGGGAAACAGCTCATTCCTGATGGTGCAGAATTGTGGTTGTCCATCCTGAGCTGCTTGCCTTTTATCAGTAGTACTTTTGAGGTAAATACTGTAGGACAATAGAAATGAATCCTGATCTTATGCTTAACCAGCTTTTATTTTGTTTCAGCTTAATATTTCCTGGAGTACGGCTGGGCGCTGACAGTCAGTTTAGTGATTTCCTCGATGGACTTGGACCTGCACAGTTAGTAGGCCGACAAACACTGGCAACCCCTGCCATGGGTAAGAATAATATGTTCTACTCTGTTAAGGGACTAATAAGACAATTAGCTAAGGCACACACTGCCAGACTACTGCACCAAAAAGACTTTTACAAAGTGTCTTCCTTCACTGTAAACATGAAGGTCCTATATGCAGTCACTGGTGTTTCTAGCATGCTGGCATCAAAAATGGGGTGAGAAACAGTATTTGCTCCATTTAAGGTGTTGGCTATCTTATTTGCCATTTGAATATAGGGGTTTTACTTCCCACTCAAAATTATTTTGGCTTCTCCAAAAGTGGCTCTCTGCAAAATTTCAGCTGTCCAGAATGTATATTCGCTTGACACAGGTTATATTGCATGTGACAGAGGGTTTCTGACCAAACTACATTTTTCCAAGTTCATCTAATCCCAGAATGTGAAACTTCTGGCCACATTTGCAATGCCTATTTATCGGTTGCTGATAAAGCCAGTGTTTGCCATGAGAGACACAAAGTTCTTTTCTACAACTGCTGCCTGGGGCTACCTGTGATCTTCTCTATGTTACAGCCCTGTCTGTAATTTCCTATAGTAGCATTAGCTGTATCTTCTTCATATGAACAGAGTGGGAGTTGTACGAGGAGTGCAACAGTACAGGGCTGTGCAGGTCTGTGTAAGTATCTTCGGAAAGGCTTGGGGTTTTTTGCTGTTGTTGTTTTTTGCTTATATATGAGCAGTTCTTAGACATGCTTTAGGATGCTGAGTGAGGAGTCCTTGATCCACTAGTGTAATGATACTTCTCCTGCTGGAAATTATAAATGGCCAGTGCTTCAGTACAACTGTCTTAGGAAAATCAGTTATAGGAAGGGCTACTGAGACACATCTGAAAAAGTGGAGAGAAACAGAAAGAAAAATTGTGGAAGAGAGTTTTTTCTTCCCAACTCATTAGAAGAAGGAAAACTATCCTGAGAATGCTCTGAGTACCCTCTAAGGCAAGACTTGCTGTATAAATCCAAATGACTGCTACTAAAGCATTAATAATCACCAAATTTATTAAATTAATATTTTTATTGTTATTTTGAAAGAAAATATATTTGTGAGATTCTTTGCCCAATAAATATTTAAGTGGCTTTATTGGTATGAATGTAAGGGTCTAGATTTCTTCCGTCTCTTTATTTTAATCTTGTTTTTTGACTAAAGATTTTTCTGCAGATAACTTGAGTAATACATTTATTTTAAATTCTTAGAACTAATTTATTTACTAAAGGCTCAAGTTTTGCCTGTCCCAAAAACACTTCATCATGCTTTTTAACAACCTTCAGAATACCTTCTCTGTGGTACCCTTTAACAAGTGACAATTTGAAAATGTTTGTATTATTGCTCCCCCTTCTGGTTCCCTGACGCATGTTTTGTTTTGAACGTGTGATACAGAGATGTGCTCTTAAAAAAGGCTTGTTGGAATTTTCCTCGCCTATTTTTAGTGTAACACAGAGCTATGTTTATTCAAGCAAAGTTTGATTGATAAAAAAATTTTCCCTGCTGCTCTGTCATGCTTCACATATGAAGCTATAAATACTACTTTAGTATGCTGTTAGAAAAACATGAAAATCTCATGCCCAGTTAATTTCAAAATGCTGTTTCTCTAAATCCAGACCCCAATTTCTATAGTTTGAGACTATCTGTTTGTGAATTTGTTTTTTTAAACAATCACAGTTTACATGTCAAATATATACATACTCATGTGTTTCGTGAATGTAGTTCGTTTATTTGCCCAAGTGTCACATAGCTACTGTGTCATACTGTTCATTTTTTATTCTAAGTGACCTGTTAGACTTCAACCCAGCTGATTCCATGATATATGAAACCACAGATATATAATGCCTTGAGCATCAGCTCATAGTTGACTTCCCTTGTATTTTGTTGATCTAGATCAGAACATGCTTGGTCTCAGACTAAGCAGTTTACATTTTTTTCTGCAGGAAATGTCATTTGTCAAAACTCAGGCAGGAAAATGAGTTTGACTATTTAGAAACAAGAGCAGTTTATTTTTTTAACATGCTGCAATATTTTATTCGTACCAAAAATGGGTGTGTGGAATATTGATAAAAACAGGAACATTATCACCCTTATGCTTGTTGCAGACTTTTGAAAGAAAAACACCTATTTTGGTCCGGTAAAAACTGTACACCAAGAGAGGGCACCCTGCTCCCTAATTATATATCATTTAGTCCTTGGTTAAGGATGGAGAAATTAAAGGAATCAGGGGGAGAGGCAACAAGCACAATAAGACAGAAGAATAATATCAAGCTAGTCTTTCTGTTTCTCACTCTTATACCCTATTTCCTAGCTGTACTGCTTCTCTAAAATGTGTACTTCCTTCTTCTCCCTCTCAGGTGACATCCAGATTGGAATGGTAGATAAAAAAGGCCAGTTAGAAGTAGAAGTCATTAGAGCCCGTGGCCTCACACAAAAACCTGGCTCCAAATCTACCCCAGGTATGGAAAAAGATAGACAATATATGAACAGAAAACAACAATATGAAATACACTAACGAACTGGGGATTGGAGATTTTTTGAGCTCCTTGTTGGCTGTCACTATATTTGCATTTGTTTGGTTTGCTTTTCAACAAGGAGTGTGTGCATGGATATATCCTTGCTACCAGTGTACCACCTCACATCTGCCAGTTGCATGGCACCTTTCAAGGAATGACTTTCAGCAACTCAACATCTGTTCTGGAAGGAACACTTGCAGAAATATTTCTGTGTATCTTAGGCAAGTCATATATCTAAGAGGGACTTTGTCAATATAGATGACATCCTTTGTGTTTGTTCTCCATGAAAAGAGATGAAGAATGGATGAAAGTGCTTTGAACAAACAAATTAACAAACTTACATGCCAGGGTCTTCTGTACACAACTGTGCTTCAAGAAGACAGCAGCTTGTGCTAGTGTCAATAATTTGTATAATGAATGAGATTTAATATTGTATCATTTTATAAGGACATTTGTTGAAGTTCAAGTTATTTATAGAAATCTCTATTAGAAGAGATTTAGAATCAATACCACAAAGACTGCTTACTGTAACAACTGTAACAGTTGTTTTAGATAACATTTAGCCAAAGTGGTACTTTGCAACTTCTTTAGGAGCTGAAGATGAACTAGCAATTAATGTCTGTGTTATTGGAATGGTGTAGTTTTAAATACTTCTTTTGTTTTGAACTGTCTCTGACCCCTAAGCATAATAGAGACTTCAGAATAGCTGTCAGTGATGGTTAATTCCTGGAAAAATAAAGCATTTTTAAAATTACAGACATGAAGTGTAATTGTTGTTAGTAACATCTTACATCATTATATTCCAAGTTTATAAAAGTTAAATTGATTTCTTATGGACCATGTAATTTATTTTACAAATATAATTGTATTCAGATTATACAATTATGAAGATACAGTGAAGATAACGTTTGTCATTTTCTTTCCACTCAGTTTCCTTTTAAGGCATTTGTCTTGCATCTCAGATGTGCACTGTAAATCCAAATATAACATTCATAATGTTCTGTTTGCAGCTCCATATGTCAAAGTGTATTTACTGGAAAATGGAGCATGTATAGCTAAGAAGAAGACCAGAATTGCAAGGAAGACCCTTGATCCTTTGTACCAACAGACACTGGTTTTTGAAGAAAGTCCACAGGGTAAAGTCCTTCAGGTCAGTTGCTTCTTAATCCCATTTTAGGCTGTCATTTGGAGAAGCACTTTCATGTTTACTTAAATTTAACCAGTATGCGTAAACCCATTCCAACTCATAAGCATTTAATTTTATAACTATCAGCAAACACATCCTTGTGGCTTGTGGTTTCAGGCTTGCAAAATGTCTGAGTTGTGAGACATTTCTCTTTTGTTGCCTCTCACTCCTGTCCTGCCATAACGTTTTCCCACAAAAGGGAAGCAATCATTCACACTTAAGAGTAACATTTTCCTTATCCTACACATAACAGGAGTGCACATGTATAAGCACAGATATAAGTACATAATCCCTTATAAACACAGATTTGGGAACAATGTTGAACCTTAATTTTATGTTCTTCCAGGTAATAGTCTGGGGAGACTATGGCCGAATGGACCACAAATGCTTCATGGGAGTTGCCCAGATCCTTCTGGAGGAACTAGATCTGTCCAGTGTGGTAATAGGCTGGTATAAATTATTTCCACCTTCATCGCTAGTGGATCCAACATTGACTCCCCTGACACGCAGGGCTTCCCAGTCATCTCTGGAAAGTTCAACTGGGCCTCCCTGCATTAGATCGTAGTAGCAGGTGCTGTCTAATAAAAACATCACCCAGGATAACAATTGGAACCAGATATTCACATAATCAAAAAACACTGTTGGAGAGAGACAATCACTTCTGTTTTCACTTGTAGTAGTTATCCAAATGTATGTCTGTTTGTTAAGAGATAGCTTAAATTGACAGAACAAAGGTATATCACATACGGCTAATCTCTTAGCGGCTATCACTGATGCTTATAATGATCAAAAAAAAAAAAAAGAAAAAAGGAAAAAAAGAAAAAGGGGAGGGACTTTTAGATTTGATCTAAGTCAAAGGTGACCCAAACTGGAAGCTCTCACTCTGTTAACAATGTTGCATTTTTCACATTTTGACAGAGCCCTCAAGCAGTGTTACCTTCCTGGTGTTTCAACAGTTTTTCTGTACTTCACTTCCACCAGTTTTTTGCCACATGATTCTGCTAGTTTCATAGAAGTCCTCACACTGCTAACAGAGACCCTTCCTTTCTTTTTCTAAACCAAACAAAAAAGGGCTGAAGCATATCTCTGTAAGCATCGTTAAAATGTTCAACAGCCACAGTTACAATTGCAGCAAGTTCAAATCGTTTCTCAGTTCTGGTACTTACAAGTCTCTCACATGGGAACCCAGAACAAATGACCAATCTTAGTTATCTTCCTAAAAATAAATAATCATCACAGTGCCACTTTTTCTTTGTAAAAAGCAGATATGTTTGCATTATATATATAATAACTTTTATGTTTATGATGTTTTGCATGGAAGAATTTTGAAGAATTCTGCAACTACTGCTGGGGACTGGTATAAAGCAGCTTTAGTCTTAATTTTGACATTGAATATGTTACTGGTAATGCAATTTTCCTCCTAGAAATGGAGAGGAAATACTTACGTTTCTGTGTATAAATGTATATTTGACTTCCCAAAATGTTGACCAGGAATGAATTGAGCATATGACACTTTCAGCTGTACCCGGGCTTCTCTGATGTGTGTCGCTTCAGACGCACCTGTCTGCCCTGGATAGAGCATGGTATGAGTTGTTCAATGTTTCGCTGGAAATTCCAGTTGAAATATTCTGCACTTACTAATGTTTTTATCAAATTTTAGTTTACATTTCTTTGAGATTGATGCAAGCACAAGGCTTGATTTTTTAACGCAAGATATCTTACTTTTTGGAGAAAAAAAAAGAAAAGTCAAATTTCAATTTGCTTTTTATTCATTTGAGTTCTTCTTGGCCTTGAAATCCCTTGTGATATTCTGTATATGTGCGAAGAACTGCAGATTCCTGCAGGTGCATTGATATGTTTCCCCTCCTTTACAGGCCATTCAATTTTGTGATCACAAAAATAGAGCAGCATGACTTGGAACTGTTCAAAGCTGCATGCACGTTTTGTAAAAAGAGATGACAAAGGTTATTTAATAATGTATGTTAGTTCCACATAGGCCAGCTTGTATGTTGCATGTACTTGTACAGTTTGCTCGTAATTACTATACTGAAGTAACCAAGAAATCTAAGCCATCCATTTTTCTTATAGACATTTTGCAGGTTTTAGCCAGGCTAGATATGTGGGTCTGGTGCTAAATGTCTATAGATGGACTTTATTTTTTACCCTATGGAAAACGTGATGTAGTACGGACCAAATTCCTTCTAATAACTATTTTGGTGTAGATTCCTACTGTGGGGCTGTAACACATGTAGAAACTGTGTACACACTAGGTTTTAATTCATAGACATACTGCCTGCACCAAGTGAACTATTTATTATTACTCAACACATGGGAATTATTCTGCCCATCTTTCCATAGGGCATAAATTGGTTACTGCTCGACCTGCTGAGCAGGAAGAACTCAAGCGTTGGTGCACTACTACTAGATCCTGCTCTGTCTTAGTGGCCAAACACCAACTAGTTATAATTCAATAGTATCTTTCTATTTTGACCACTTGTCTTAACACTCCCCTGTGCTTTTAAATGAACTTCCAACTCATGTTATGTAAACATGTTTAATAAAATTTCCTTTTCATGTCCAGTGTAGTAGTTGTGCTCTCTGTATGTTCTAGGGTTCATCTGTGATTCTGCTTGCTGCAGGACTGTGTGAAATGTGTAAGGAACAGTAAAATGATAAGTAATTTCTATGGTTCTTTTGATTGCTGTAATAGTATATGTTGAAATCTGGGGCCAAAAACTGAGGCCTGGTGAAAGTCATGTTTGGTTGGCTTCCTTTTCCCTGAGAAAGGAGCCAAATTGTGCTCTCATTACTTGAAGCAAGCAAATTGAAGTAAACAAAAATTTATCTGAATTACCATCTGGTGAAATCAAATCAGTTTGTTGTAGAGGAGCGATGCTGTGACTGCTTGCAGTAGGCCAGGAGGGCAGTATGTGTTAGAGCCAGACACCAGCTCTCTGTTTGCTGTGTGTAGAGCCTTTGAGATGTGAGAACAGCTACTGATCTTTGGCACTTTTTAAAATACGCCCTATGTTGTTATGGACAATGCTTGTATAGACATTTACCTGAGAGCAGAATTTGGCACTAAATTTTACTAGAGAAGCAAAGGTTATGTACTTTGGTTGATTTTTAGTTTTCCATGTCCCACAGATACCTGATCACAATTTAAAAATAACATAAAGACAGTATTGTCTCAATTTGAACATTTTTGTTTATTACTTTATTTAACTGAATACATGGTTAAGCTACTGAAAAAATGACTAATTAAACATGGTAAATCTCAACAAAAGTCATGTTATTCTGTGTGGTGAGAGTGATTTGCTTAAAAACAGAATTTGTTACACTGTTGCAAAAAGCCCTCAATTTCATTAATCTCATGACTTTGAATATTGTATCCAACACTAGGATATCTTTCCATTTCTGATCCTGAGAAATAAATAAAGTCCAGAATTTCTGATCTCCCCCTAGAGCACAGAAAATATGGCAGCAAAAGAACACACTGAACTATTTCATTTATGGTCTTTCTGATGAACAGGGATCATATATGCCAAGACTTCAGGAATGAAGTAGTAGACTGTAGTAGGTCAGATAAGTTGTGTGCTGGACTCCTTTCCCAGGGACTGTTGCCTTTTAAAAACTCATTGCTGAATGCTGGGATTATAATACACAAATAAATCAGCTTTAGTTCCCTCTTGGTTTCCTTTGAGAATGCAGTGCTGCCTTATATATATGTCATACACAGGGGAAAAGCAAAGATTGTTAAACTCATAATCCCTGTCATATAATCGGTTATTTTCTTCATGATGAGTAAATATTCTATATTTTATATTGAAATGCAAATTTATGTCCCTATTTCTGGCTAGAAAAAAGGGTTTGGCCTTGACCTTGGTGTTTGAGAGGCATCAGAACTGCTGAGAGTGGTTTAGCCAAGCCAGAGCTTCTTGATCTCATGTCTTTGTAATTCAAAGAGAAATGACATGCACTTTCATAGCCTGTTTGCACAAAAAAATGATGGTCTCAAAAGTCAGATTCAGCCCAGATATGATATGGTATACACAGAAGACAAGTTCAGAGTGGACCTTCAGGGGCTGTTCTGTGTAGTCCAAGGTTTTACTTATAGCCTGTTACTTGTTCTCTATGAAGTTGGCCGTTTGCTGTTCCTGTGTCGTCATTATTCTACTGTCCATAGGCCATTTAACTCTAGAAAAAAGGATTATGGAACTTGTAATCTTCTTTTACCTTAAATGAAGAAAGTCATGGCAGTCTTGCTTTAAAGCCCCAAATGTTTACTCCATGTTACCCTACTATAGTTCTGCAAAAATAGCAGAAAGCAATCTGCAAGAAAGCAGACTATTGTTGAAGTATATGATTTCTCACATCAGGTAATGAGTATTCTGGCCATCCTGAATGCTAAAAACTATCAACAACTGCATTTCCAGCCTGTCCACTTCTCTCTAGGGGAAAAAGAAAATGCATAGGTCATGTATGAATTGTCTCAGTGTCTGCAGGGATGACCATATGTGCTGGTAGTTAAATACCATGGTTATGAAAGAGGTTGTGTGTGGCAGGCATGTCACATAGATCAAATGTTCTTCCGAGTTCTGCTGTCCAAATTCCTCTTCCCTGAGGTGCCGGAGACAGGGGAGGAAGCTGCCTTCACTCCTTCTTGAGTCTAAGTGATGATAACAATTCAGCTGCACAGGCTGGTCTAATGAAATGCTCCTTGGTTAGGTAGGTACTTTATAGTTGTTGGTATGATTCGGATCCGTAGTTGTGCACTGGAACATAAAACCTTAGACATTCCGTCATCGAGTCAAAGCGTCTTAATGCTCAACACTAGTAGGAACTGAGAGAAAGGGTAAAAAGTTTTCAGAATCTGTAGACTACAGTGATCAATACAGAAATTCAAATAAGGCAAATACAGTTGTATTTATGCCTCTGCTATTATGAGAAAGGCATCCTCTAGAGCAGAGTCTTCTGGAGGTTTTGGCTGCTGGCTGGTAAAAGTGAGACACCTAAGGGTTTCACAGAATCTCATAGATGACCCCTGGAAAAATTGCCTTCAAAAGGTGATTGTGGAGATCAATAAACTGAGCCATCCCAGTGGAGGCGAGAAACTGGAATGCTTTATTGGACTTACAAGTTGATATTTAAAAGGTTTAGGGTCTATGTATTCAACAGGGGATTTACATATTCATCAGGGGGGTGGCCTATTACAAATTGGGGGTTTTACAGAGATGAGGTAAAGGGGAAAACTCAAGTTTACAAATTTTGGGGTCTTAACCCACTTTGGGGGAAAACCCACTTTATCTTAGGGGAATTACATGGAGGGAACAGGTAACACAAAAGGAGAGATAAAACACAATAGGTCTTCTGCAGATGCTTGATAACATCAGGGTATGGTCTCTCTGGCTTAGGCAGGGCACTCCGCACTGGTGATGTCCCATTTGCTTCTTAAACTGAGTTTTTTTCCCCAGCTCTTGTAGCCCATGCCCTTTTGCTGAGACCACTCAAATTCCTTTCTGCAGATATATGAATTTGGGATCCAACAGGTGATAAGCAGCAGCTCATTATTTTAGTGCTCACTGGACAGCTCAGAATGTTTTATTCTGATCACTTTTAACATGTCTACAGTTTCAGATCCCTGCTAAAATGCAGTTATAACTTGGCAGTGGCTCACTTGGTAAAGCACAGAGTCCGTAATGAAAGGCTGTGTGATATCACCACTTGTGTGGATTTTCATTATGTCTGAAATAATTAATTTCAGTGAAGATTGAGTCTTTTTTCACATTTCCATCTCATTTATATCAGCGGAATATATACTTCTGTGTGACTTTGAGAATCTAGGTATTGGTCTCTGCAGTCATGATTTTGTGATTAGTTAAATGGGGGTAGGTGCAATTCCCCATTTCAGAGACGTTGCAGAGATACAGAAAGAGCAGAACATAAACGTAGAAACAGCAGTTGTGAGGTCCTTAAGAGACTTAAATGACACAATAATATCCCATCTTCTTTCTTCTCCTGTCTCTCAAAGTCTTTTTTACACTGACAAGTATTAGGAAGTAATATCTTCTGTACTAAACCTTGTCACTGTGTTTGAACTACAGCCAAAAAAACCTTCTAATCTACACACTTAAGCTGGGAAATGCTATTTTCTTCTGTGTATACCAACTCCTATAGGAAGAATCTTTCATAGACATGTCTCATGTTCCAGTCTCCTACTCTTCAGGAAGTATAGCAGCACTTATCACCTCTGCTTTTTCAGTAACCCTGCTTTGTCTTTAGACCCTGTTGTCAGTTCTGACTTGCTTAGGCTGCTTCAGGACAGCAGGTCTCTGCAGAGGCAGCTGCTCATGTCCGTGCTAGAGCACTAAGTATAGAAGACAGAATAATCATATTTAGAACAAGCTTATACAAATGGCAGTAAGACAATCCTAGATACTTTAAGAAATCTTGTCATGCAATTTAAACCAAAAGTTAAGATTTGCAAATCCAGCAAATATTGTAAAATAGAAATTAAATGTTACAGTATATACTAAAAAAAAATATCTGTTTGATAATTGTATTTGCATACTGCAGAAGGAGCATCCACACACAAGGCAGATATGGCAATATTTCACTAGCATGTAAGAACAAAAAAGATCAAATATTATTTTCAGTAATTCAGAGGGTGAGAGATAGCTCAGAAGAAAATGTTTTCTAAATATTTATTTACTGAGTGAAGTCTGTTAGAAGCCAAATCCAGCAGCAGCATTATACTTGGGCTGCTGTTTGTTAAAGCTGCAGCAAAAGGAACTAAGAGAGGGCCCACAAACTTCATCCTCTGGTTTTTGGAACGGATGCGTTTCTCCCAGAGTGACAGGGACTAAAGTGAGAAACCTCTGGGTGTGTAGGAATGACAAAGTAACACAAAAGAACATAATGGCAATTACGATAAAAAATAAATGCTTAAACAATATGTAGAACACTGTATTAGAATTGTGAAGGTCTTAGAGTGCAGCTCTTCCTGGACCAGGTAGAGAACACAAGTCTGGACTTGGAACGAGTCCCCAGATGTCCCTCAAACGACAGGTTAGAAGAACTGGATGTCTGCTAGCAGCCAGTGCTACAGAGGGAGCTTTTTCTAATGGAGAAGTTTTTATGTACAGCTTGACCATGCTTTTTTCTTCATACATGATCTGACATATTCAGTGTGAACTTCACTTTAAGGGGATGTAAAGGATATATTTAATCTCAAAAATCTATGTTGTGTGAGAGATCTTGCAGCAGCCTTGATAAAGCTTTGCCTAAGACAGTAAAGAAGTCAGGCACTCTGTGATGGGTAAACCAGGAAACCGGAAGCAGGTCCCCATGGAGAGCAGGACAAGAGTTCTCCAGAGGAAGGAGGGGAAAGAAATGGCACCTCTGTTCAGCTGAGGGGACAAAAAAGGGGAGACCCAGAGAAAACCTTGTGGCATAATTGCTTGGAACCTGTCTTTTTGACTGAAATCTCCAAAAAGAAGAGCAGCCAATTAGAGAGTTTGCCTCACAGATGGCAGTCCATGTCTTCCTGAAGGGTCAAAGGATTTGGCCCAACTTCA